AAAAAATTTAAATATTAAAAAAATTAGTAAAAATCTTCGCAGGCAAATTTGCCTGTGTTACAATTTAAGGGATAAAGTTTAGTTCTTAAAGAGATATTATATACTAATTCGAACTTTATAATAAAATTTACAAATGTCTTAGAGTTTTAGATTTGGATTAGAAAACTTTAATAGTGTTTGAATTAGAGAGGTTTGGATTAGAGAGAGTTAACTATATATAAAAATTGCATGGTTCTAATTACTTATCAACAAAATAAAAAGTTAAATATTATAGTTCATATATTATTCATGTATTCAATTTTTCTTAATATCTGAAAAAAGAATACAGTAATACAATACAATACAAAATATATAGTATACTATAATATCTGAAAATATAGTAATAGATTTTTAAAAAAAGTTTAAATTTTAAAGTTATTTTTTAAAGATATTTATTTTTGGTGCACCCTTTGCTATATCTTAAAATTTACTAGAGTAACCCTGTTGTATAACTAATTAAAAATAATTTTATCCTAAGTCCAACCTTAACTCTAACCCTAATCTAACCCTATCTAACTCTAACTATTACTAGATTCAAATTTTCTATCAAAATAAATGACAACTCTTTCCGATAATCATCTGGACCATATTTTTTTGAAAAACTTTTTGACTAAAAAACAGTAATGTACTGCAAGAAAAAAGTAAGATGTGGGAAAAGAGCATAAGAAGAACCGCACTTGTCGTTTAGAGGTAGTTCTCATACGCTACCTGCCGACAAGCTTAGAGTTTATCACTTATAGCAGCACAGCACTTGTCGTTTAGAAATAGTTCTCATACGCTATCTGCCGACAAGCTCAGAGTTTATCACTCACCGAAAAAACTTAGTACTGTGCAAACTTTTGAAACACCTGTTGATGTCTTTAGAACTCACACTCTTTTGAATATGTGCTAGTAGTCTTCTCTATATTTTTCGCTCTTTGCCATTCTCACCAAAAATTTCGACAAAAAAGTAGGCATTTTAGCTTACCCCCTCCAAAAGATCAGCATTGTTTACACCTACCTAATTCAGATGACTTAGTAGAATGCAACCACGTGTTTGTTTTGTTTATCAATACGGTGCTACGATACGTGGAAAAGATCACTACCCCGTTTAGAAGATACCCGAGTCGAGTTGGTGTCCAGAACAAGTTCCAAAAATAAATCGAAGGTTTACAATCGAGATATAGTAATTAGTTGCAATTATTATATAATTTTTATCTTTACGCCTGGCACAGGCTATAATAGTGTATCATGACTATTTTCTTTTTTTTCGCTTTTTTCATCTTTGTTCATTTATAGTAGACTATTTTAGAATTTGTTGAAAAGTTTTTTTTTCCTACCGTGAGGTGTTTTTTTTCTAAAATGTTTATGTCTCTTATAAACATAGCATTATTTTTTTCACTTTTATATATAAATAAGGGTTTTAATTTTGTTGTCAGGCTTAGGTGGAAGAAGTCTGAAAGAAGAGGAAGTAGTTATGATGGGCGGCAAGGTTCACTGTTGAGAGCTAGGTCATATCCAAGTGCAGGAAGGGTCCGAAAAGAAGGAAATCTTGCTATAGCAGGTCAAACATACTGTAAATTAAAATTAGATTTTGCTAATACTGTTAGTTAAAACAAGGTTCACGTGGTACAGAATGCAGTTGCAGTGAGTTAGGTGAGAATTTAGGAAGATTTTATATAATATTATAATAATAGAATATGTAATAGAGAGTATATATAATTTTAAAGCAATTTTATTTGAATAAGAAATATTAGTCATTTACTATGAATTTGAATTAATTATTAAAATTGAAATATTGGTATATACTGTATATATATATAGATTTAGGAGTATGGTATATATTGTATATAGTGTTAATTAAAGTTGGAAATTGTATAAAAGAAAATGGTAAGTTTTTTTATTTAGTAAAAGAGGTTAATGTATAATAGGTATTGGATAGTGATTTGTAGTGAATTAAGGTAGTTATATAGTAATTTAGAAGTGTAAAATAGTTGAAGTGTTAAGTGTATAATAATAAATTAAGCAATGCGGTATGTTGTATGTAGTGTAATTGTAAGAAATGTGTGATTTTCAAATATAGGAATTGTTGGTATAGTGGTATATTGATACGGCTGGATTAGATATGAGTGATATATATATTGATTTAAATAGTTAGGATGATGTTTTTATGATATCATTGATTTATTTAGAACAGTAATAGATAGTTAAGTCTTGTTATGATTTTTTAATAAGTATATATATGGTTTAAAGAAGACTTGAAAGTGAAAGAGTAGAAGATAAGGTTTAAAGTAGTTTTAATTTTAGTGGATTATTGTAGAGGTCTGAGTCCTCGAGTATAGTCTTTCATATTCATTTAGAGCTGCTTTTGGGGTTTTTAGATATTTGGTTTCAAAAGTTAATAAATTAAGGGTTTTCCAAAAAGTAGCCCTACTCATTGCAACATATGCTTGATCTTTGACAAATATTGTTTGGTCAATGCTAGTAGTCATGTGGGAGAGGGTAAGTCCTTGTACTTTATAGATTGTTAAAACAAATGTATTTTAAAGAGGAAATTGTTTGTATAAGGCTCTTTTTCCATTGATGAAGAAGTAAAATATTTCTTTTTTTTAAATAACTCTTTCCTGAACCTTTGAAAATCACTAAGTAAACAAAAATCATTATTACTTAAGCAAAGTATAAGCATTGGAATTGACTAGTACTTAAGTAAAACTGCAATAAACCAATAAGAACTCCACCCCCTACACCAACAAAAGAAGAATAAACAACCAACACTTTTTGGATCTGTCTCAAACTAATCATTTGGCAGGTGTCTACAAACACCAACTTACTGACAGTTTGCCACCACATAAGCGCATAAAACACAACACCATGTCTGATATTAAAGACCTTACCCATCAAAACATAGCAACAATATCTAACTTATCAAGTTCGCAAAGACTAAACACTTCGCATAACCAAAACCAAACTATCCAAGAAGTAAATAGCCAGCCTCGCTAAGATATTGCTCCAAGAGTCATTGACCACAATTAAAACAAACAAAGTAACGTTACTACAACAGAATAACACCCAATCACAAAACACGGTTCCCATGCTAATGGATATGGTATCTGGAAACTTACAAACTGGCACCAACTCGGGTCACCCCAATCTGGGCAACAATAATTATCAACCTATGAACATAGTAGATAATGTTACTAATAATAGTTTGAACCTCTACCAGCTGGCAATTCTATTACCCACCAATAGCTAAATAAGTGGAAGCAATCTAACAAGTTATCATACAGTCAAGCAGTAGCTCAAAAAACAATACGACCAGACAATAACCCAAATAATTACTGGACCAAAGAAATTACCAACGAACTTGAGAAAAGGAAAAAGGAAACCTTTGACTACAATATCTAGAACAATGACACTATACTAAAAGTGCTTACTGACAAAGCATTATTTATGGAGTTAATTAATCATAAGATTTAAACTACAATTCCAATGATAAACATACTCAAAGACATAGCAAGTAAACTCAAATATCATGATACAGCTTTCTTTAAATCCTTCTCACAAAACAAAAACACCTACCCAAGCCACCAAACCAAGTTTAATACATTAATGAATATAGCGATTGAAAAATATAAGCGTAAACACAATATATTGCTAGTCAACAAAAATAATCATAAGCAAATATACAACAAATTGAGAAAGAAAATAGCAATTGACGGCTTTCTAACTCTTAACTTAAACCAACTTGGAGACTACACTAGTACCCAACACATCTTTTACCTGTTAAACTTCGGCAAAATAGATACAACGATTGAATTCGAACAAGCAAAAAGAATAATCAGCAAAGTTCAATCAACCAACCACTTAAACCTACCTGAAAAACCAGACGATATTCCAGTAGATATTATTGATATTTTATCCTTCAAACTGCTACTGGAAGATAACAGCAAAACGGCCACTATAGTCAAATCACTTCGACTTATTTTTACTTTCGAAAGTCTACCTAACTCATACTTCCAGAACCCCAGGATCCCCTTGCCAAGACACTCAGACCAACTTAATAATGAAACTAAATATCTCTTCCCAGTCAAAGAGTGTAGTAAACTACAATATCTATCTGAATATAGAAGGAAACTGCAAAAATACTACATCCTTAAAGATAAACTACTGATGACTTACTTTGACCTACCTCCTGAAAAACTTTATTTACCTTCAACGCCACAGGACCTAGACTCAAGAGTCAGACATCTCTTTCCATGCAACCCCAAAAGTGATAATGAATTTAGAGATTTGGTAGCAAAGCTCAGACAATACTACAAATTTAAAAGGTTATCTAGTGACTATATAGTTCACAAAAAACTCTTACTAGCTAAACCCAAATTACTCACAACAGATAGAAGCTACAACTTTCCAATTAAAGATAAGACCAGTGCTTTACAATTTATTGCAAAAATACAGGATGAATTTAAAACACCAGAACCTCTACCCAAAAATTATGTAGAGATTAACTATACAACAAAACTAGACCTACCACTAGACCACTTACAAATTAAAGAAATGAACCTTACAATACCAATTACGTCACCTAAGCAGTTAGTAGACATAGCACGAGAACTTCGTACCCACTATTTTTTCTATCAAATACCATTTAGTTGAATACAGATCCAAACAAAAGAAATAGGCACCACTAGCAAAGATATAAAACCACCCTTACCAGTAAATATAGAGAAACTGCAAAACCAATTAACCACTTTAGACCCTGAATTAAAGTTACAATTATCTATTAAAATATACAAAGATATTGAAGAAACACTAGATAGTATCAGCACTTATTTTAATATTACGACCCTCCAAGCTATATTCATGACTTACCCGATCTCCCAACTCCTACTTGGAACATTGTTAACAATTATACACCGAACTCACCATGAACAGAACAAATTCAGAAACTAACTCACCGTTAGACAATTCAACCTATACTAGTCACACCACCAATACATCTTTGGTGTTACAAACAATAAATGCACAAACCCCAATAGCCCAAACTCCTTTTAATAAATATATAGACACACACTTAGGAATCATAGTTCACAATGTGCAAGGAATAAATGGCAATCTAAAATACATAACTTGGCTTCAACACTGCAATAGTTTAGATACTAATGTAGTTATTATGACTGAAACAAAACTATCATCTAATCACACTCACCCAGCTAGTCTAAGTAACCCTTGGTACAAAGTCTATACGGCAAACTGTGATGCATACAATGCAACCACAAGACAATCAGTTAAGAGAGTAGCCATCGCACTGAAGCCCTACATACAACCATATATACATAATATTAAAACAATACCAGGTCATGCACTCTTAATAGATCTATTTTTACCCAATAATAATAAGACTCAAATAATTAGAGTATATATTCCATCTCAACTATCAGCCCAAACAAACTCGGCTTAGCAAACAATTATCAACTAGATACAACAAGCACGATCCTATAACTATAATATTATTATCGCTGAAGACTTTAACTCTAATGCACATAAACATAACCCCTTCACTCTTATCACATATCTTGACAATTCTAACTTGATTAGTCTACTCAATTTTTTTGATATCAACAGTCCTACTTGGCAAAGTAATAACTCATCAAGCCAAATAGATGATATATGGATCAACCCAGAGATAACACTAGACTTCATGCAGCCATTGTTACTATTAGCAGCAACGTCAACTAATAGTGACCACCAAATTATATAGTTATAGTGGACTATTCCAAAAATATTATCTATACCCCGCACAAAGAAGACAAGACGGAAAATATATTTATACCAAAAAACTACTCCTAAAAACTGGCAATCTTTTAAAGATTATATCGACACTCAAACAAGAACTGTTATTATCACGTACAAGCCAATAACAGATCAAACATCTATTAACAAAGCGTGGAACAACATACAGCAAATAATTAAACAAGCAGCTAACAAATATATTCTAACCAAATTTGTTAGATCAAAGCAATTTAAAGCATATTCACAAAAAGCAATCCAGCTACATTACAACTTAAAGAAAATAAACTACATTAGCGAAATATATTAACGTAATTTTACGTAAGTTATTACGGCCCGAAATATTGCACAATAATTATGGTCTAGACATAATATTGTGCAAAAAGTTGCAAAATATTGCGCAATAAATAACGTAAAATCACGAAATATATTACGCAAAATTACGAAACTTATAGCGCAATATTATGTAATGTTTTGCGCAATATTTCGAATTAGTTCGAAACAATTCAAATAGAGGTAAATGCATCAAAACAGAAAAATATTT